TGTTAAAGCCTTCATATGATATATCGCTGTTTTCCTCTAGTAAGGTCTGGCAGGAAAGGACGTCGGCGGGTGTTTAGTCTGTCGGAGGCTGACAGTCACGGTGGACACTGGGTTTAGGTCTTCAAGCAGCAGCTGCAACAGAAACTCGCGCAATATCAATTCAGGCAGGTTCCTCCATAAGCTTTCAAAAGCCCATAACAGTTAATAGAACATATTTGGTTTCCATGCTGACAGCAATGAGGTAGGAAACTGAAGAAAGCATCATAAATATTTGTCTACTGTTTTTTTGGGGAGAATTGTAAAGCAATAATCAGCCGTTTCTGAAAGCCTTATCTGCAGTTTCTCCCATGTTTCTTGGCTCTCTTGCTAAAGATGGAAATTCTGCTATCAAGCCTCCAGCTTCAAAGCAGCTATGTCTTCATTTGCACAGGGGCAGCCATGGCTGTAGTGGAATTTAGTAAGCACAGGCTCCTGAATGGACAGTAATGCGGGTACTTGGCTAGCGGCAAGAAATCTATTTAACTCGGGTAAAATGGACAAGCATTCAGCATAAGACTGTCCTTGGACTGTGGTGGCACAAGCTTAATATTTCTGTGATCATCAAACTCAGGCAGATGGCTTTATGGACTGTTTAATTGCCTGAGGAGGTGAGGGGAAGCAGATGCAAAAAAGGTGGAAATACGCTTCAGACTACCTTCTTATTTATACAACCTGTTTTAACTGGTATTTGATTAATTTATTTTTTTTACTATCATGGCATGAAGGTATTTTACTCTGTTAATATTATATAAACACCTTTTTCATCTTTATATATTTACTTTGCATCTTTTCACTTAATGTCCTGTTATATTTTTGTTATTCTTTCATAGTATGTTGCTGTACAGCTTAGGACACTTCTCTGTAGATGATATTCATTCTTTCCTTTTCCTGTTCTTTTCTATCTTCTTTCACTAATGACCATCCTTAACATAAGTTAACATAACAGAAGTTGAGTGATTTAGTTTGGATTTTTTTTTGCTGTAATGATAATCTTGGTAGCATTATAGAAGTGCTGAAAAACATCTAAAGTTGCCGAAGCCACTGCAACCAGAGAGAGAGCTAGTAATACCCAGAAACTTGCAAAATGACACCTTGTTTTCAAACCTTGTTTGGTACTTAAATTTGGGAGTATGTGGGGGGTGTTTGTTAGAACTAAATGTTAACATCACAACTGTTTTAAGAAATTGACTTCATTCTCCTTGGTTTTGTTGCAGACCTGGCTTACATTTTTTGCCAGAACACTCTTGCTTAAATACATGGGGACTGGGGAGAGGTAAATAGAAATGCGGTTTTCCCCATATTAGATGATAACTTTTGGATATTTAAGAGTAGAGCATATCTTAGTGACTGGTTATTTTATTCAGGTAAAAATTATTTTTGCTCTTTCTATCCAAAAGTCAAACTGGAACCAAGTTTTAGGAGTTTGGGTTTTTTTGAAAGCCAGTTAGTATTTTTATGTGCAATATAGACAGAAGCTTCAGATAACGGGTAGAGAACTTAATCTCTAAACATGCTGGGTGCCTTGAAACTCTTTTGAATCAAGAGCTTGGTACCTATCTGGATTTGAGAGACAGACATTCTTGTAATAATCCCTTCTTGACCTTTTTTTTTTTCAGCTAGGGTGCATCTTTTTGCCAATTGTTATTCCAGTTTCAGAGACTTTAAGAATTCAGATCACACATAAATATCTATTTATCTACTTGGATCCTTCTCTGAATTGAGTATGACTTCAAAAGACTTTGAAATTTTGAGCCTCAAAGATTTTCTCATTAGTAATTATTGTCCTGAAGCCATGTATTCAGCTAACTGGGAGATGTTATATGTGAAAACTTTTTACATCAAGAGGGTGGTCTAATTTATCATTCTAATGCCTCTTATATACCAAATTTTTATTCCAAGATGCTGGATCTCTGTATTCTATTTTCTATTTAGTTTCCTTCATCTGTAGTCTAGGATTGTTTTCCTCTATCCTTGTATCCAAAAGATATGGGAGATGATCATGCTTAAAAACTTAACCTAGCACAAGCTTACAGTTGCAGCTTCACACTAAGTATACACCTCAAGTAGCCTATGGATTTGAGAGCTTGGTCACAAAGGTGTAAGTACCGCTCTCACAGCCGTAGTTTATAGCTGTGACTGAAGAGTAAGATTTTTAGTTAAGTATTAGTCCAGAAGGGATAAAATATTGCAAAATAGTAGTGAGAGCTATTGACTTTTTCTAGACAATATTAAAAATTCTCCCTCCCCCACCCCTTTGTGTACTGTTATTTGCTTTCAGCCCCTGCAGGGATGAGTGGCAATTTGCAAATACCTTACCATTTTGGCAGTAATGCCAGGCTGGGTTACAGAAATCTGTCACTGCTACCCTTAAATACAGTAACAGAGTAACAGAAATGAAGCTCTGACAGTAACTAATAAAATATTTAAAGTAGAGGAGAGAGACTTAGTTCTATCAATAGTAAATAAAAGCAGGAGGGAAGCATAGAAGAGCTCTAATTTTGTATTCCCTATAAATACTGCAGCTAAAATACTGGACAGAGTATGTTCTGCTTACATTTTTTGATGTTTTTATCTTTTTTCTGAATTTTTTCAGACTTTTGGATAGAAAATTTGAACTTGTTGACTCCAGATACTCTTTTTTTTTTAATGGAGACTTTTTTCAAATACTTTCTTTTTCTTTGTGGCATTAAGAAGGGAGTCAGTTTAGCATTAATTTAGATCCTATGTGGAAGGATTTGGGGACAATACAGCATAACAAAAGAATATGTATGTCTGTCATGATTTCAGTAAATGAAAATATTGAGAAAATATATTAATATTTTGTTGGGAGAGGGGGAGGAATGATTTAAGAAATGAACTGCAGAATCAGAAGTGAAATAGCAGAACTGCACCAGAAATGTGCCATATATAACATTCCTGTGCAGAATGCCATTGATTGACAATACTTTATTTACCAGAATGTCTCAGGCTTCTGAATCCTGAATTTTGGTGAATATTCGTACTATAATTAAGATTAAAAAATAATCTTGGCAAAGAACATTTTATATTCTTTTAAGATTTTATAAATTCAGAAAGTAAAATCACTGCAAAGAGATTCACTGTTTTGTGCATACTTAAATGTTAGTTTTTATCTTGGAATTCAGAGAAATGAGGCTTTATTTCAGTGTTTTCAGCAGTTCATTTTCCATGCAAGTCTTGCGTCACTTCCTCTGTTATCAATCACTACATTCTCACTAAAGCTTCTTAACAGCTAAAAAGAAGAATCTGCAGAGTTACTTTGGATCTGTCCTTGTTTTTCAAAAATAACCAGTGATGTCCTTTTTATTTAAAAGGAGACTTTTTTTACAATCTATAAATTTTGTTTTTACTAAAGCGAGAAGCTTTAGCCACCGATTCAGCAAAAAGTAAAATTGAGTGGTTTTCTGAAGTGGGAATACACTGGGGTTATCTTACCAGAAAGGTAAAAAAAACCAATAATCTTACTGTTATCCCACTGATACCTTACTGATATCCATTCCATTCTCAGCTTTGTTTTTCTTTTTTTTTTGCCTTATGTTCATGCTTTCTGTTCTCTTACAGGATTAATTGGAATCATATTGAAATGGAAATATTTTTCAGGTCACTGTGTATTAAAAAAAGAACCTAATTCTTAGCTTCTGTATTCACTACATTGCCTTGTAGACTTTTCTGCAGATGCCTGTACACTTGAACACATGCTGTTTCTTGCAAGAGCTCTAAAAATGGTCTGTCTTGAAGCTGGATACCTGTTACTTTCATGGCATCTATTACTCTAGTCTGAAAAGAAAAAAAAACTGACTTTTCTGGGCATACTTGCTCATATAAGGCTATATCGCCTCATCCCCTCCATTCACTATCAATCTGAGCCAAATGAGCAGTTTACTTGATAGTTAGCTAGGATTTTAAGGGGGAAAAGGACAGTACAAATAGGTGTTAATGTGTTTTATTGTGTGGGAAGGTGGAGTAGTGTATCAGTTTTCTGTGGTGTGTAATGCTTATTCCTAATTTTATCTGTGTTGTATGCTCCATGCTTAGGAGCACAAAAAAAATCATATAACACAAGTCTGTATAAAAACAGGCCTATTTTGCACACCTTTTGGTTACAGTAAGCACATTATTCTCCTTCCTGTTCTTCCATAGTTCTGCTTTCTGTAGTCAAGGTGTCACTTAAATGTGAATCTGGAAAATGAAATGAGAGAATGACTTCCAAATTTTTGTAGGAAACAAGCCACCTCTTGGGAAAACTAGTTGTTCAGGGGTTTTTATTTTTTACATTTCTCAAGAGCTTCCTGGTATGGGGTGGCTATTCATTTTAGTCTATACTAAATAACCGGAGAGGCTTTCTTTTTCTTCCCCTCTTTCCTCGCTACAGGCCTATTTTGCACACCTTTTGGTTACAGTAAGCACATTATTCTCCTTCCTGTTCTTCCATAGTTCTGCTTTCTGTAGTCAAGGTGTCACTTAAATGTGAATCTGGAAAATGAAATGAGAGAATGACTTCCAAATTTTTGTAGGAAACAAGCCACCTCTTGGGAAAACTAGTTGTTCAGGGGTTTTTATTTTTTACATTTCTCAAGAGCTTCCTGGTATGGGGTGGCTATTCATTTTAGTCTATACTAAATAACCGGAGAGGCTTTCTTATTCTTCCCCTCAATTTCCTCGCTCTAGGAATATTTCTGATATTGCTGCATATTCTGATACTAAATGTGTAAAATTTTCTGGTTCCTAATTTGAACATATTCCTGCTGGCATTTTATGTTATGCCTTCATAATATTTTGTTTTATTTCTAATTACTAAAAAGTGAATGTGTAAGCATAGTGCTTCACAGAACTGCATTTTCCATGCAATTATTCTTAAATATTCATAAATAATAGTATACTGTTAGGCTTAATGTACATACTAAGTTGAATATTCATTGTTTCTTGGTGTTTTCTTTTATTAGATGACACTTCAGCTCCAGAGCAGCCTCAGATGACCATTTCTGGTCAGACGATGTTGACTGATGAAACTCTTTCAGCTGTCTCAAAGTCTAGCAAGAATACTGTAAAAAACAGTGACATAGAAACAGCAAACCTGTCTCCTAGCCTGATTCCTGCACAGCAGCCCACAATATCATTAATAACAGATGACAATACGGATGCACTAAGTGTAGAGTCGCTTACACTGGTGCCACCAGTTGATCCACACAGCATTCGAACATTCAGCTGCATTCCTCAGTCCTCCTTGCAATCTGAAGTTGAAGTTTGCAAGGTAAAAGAGGTAGAGGAAGAGCGTTCTGACTAAAGCCCACCTGCAGACTGTGATAAACAGTGAAGCAAATGCAACCAAATTCTTCGTTGTTTTTTCTTTGGGAGTGCAGATATTTCTTGAAGCCTGAGGCCATCTGGTCCGCAAGAAGAGGCCCACTGATGAAAGAGAATGTGGGCAGCTTTTAGAGTAAACATCAGATGCTCAGCATATTTAAACTGGAGAAGAAAAAAAAAAACTTTTGAATCTGGACTGGTTGTTTCCTACCAATTTCTGTTATACAAGAACATGAAAGTATTTCAGAGCACCTACTTTCTTTCTATTACAGAGTTCCAGCTGCAGGAACTACGTTAATTGTAAAAGGTCTACAGTATTATGGCAAAGTGAAGAAATTTTTGGATACCGGGCTTCAGGATATTGTATCATTACTTCTCTGAAACTGGAGACGTACTATTGACAAGAAAAAATATATATTGTAGTACAGAGATAACATTTCCATTTGAGATATGGTGTGGTTTTCAGTTTGTTGTTGTTTTGGTTTTTTTGGTTTTTTTTTAATCCTGATCTAATTCATCTTTTGGAGTTCTGCATGATACCGGCAGGCTTGGCCACTTTCAGTGTTGTCTTCACAGGACTCCAGACTTCAATATTGTGTTTTCCACGTGTAATATTTATTTCAAGGTTTGATTCAAAGCAAGATATATATCAAACAATTTTTTAAAACGTAAAAGCCTGAAATATAATGACAAATGCTTATTCAAATTAACATAAGGGATTTTTGAGACTACTTTAGTCTCTGCTTAACCAGCTACAGAGGAATGTGAAATTTTAAGAGATTGTTATAGCTTGTTTGTTTGCTTCTGACAGTCAAATTGCTACACCTCTGAGGAATAATGATGCCCTTTCTACTGAAGGACAACTTCTAGAAGCAGGCAGAAGCAGTTTTACTCTAAAGAGGTTTTTTTAAATTTTTCATCTTCATGTAGGAAGAAGGTCACCACACCTAACTGATAATTCCTTTGCAAGTCTGAAACTCAAAAGGAAAGGTATCGTGTGGGGTTTTTTTCCTATCTGGGATAGTATCACAGTTAAACAACATTGCTACATAAAAGTGATTCTGAGTTTATGCTTGCCTTACTTTGCTTCCTAGATCCTGATACCAAGTTGACAGAAAGTAGTGGAAAAGTGTTGATTAAAGTTCGGAATGTTCTTTGCTGATTTGATACGTGATTTAACATGAATGGAATTTTAAGATTTCTCATCAATTTCCATGTGTGTTAATTTAAATTAATAGTAAAATGAGCAGATTGTCATTATTGGTCTGCTCATAACATTGAGTGCTTTCTGGCTCTCAAAAGATTGAAGACTAGTATTTACTTAACTTGGTATTGTGATTTCAGTCATCAGTGCAATCTGTTTCCTCACTCTGTCTCTACTAACATTGTTTTCATATCAAGTAGGTGAATCTGAAAAGTTTTTACCTACTTCCCAGTCTCTTATTGTACCTCTTCCTGGCTGTCAGATGCAATCCTTGAAGTGATTTTAAATATTATATTTATATATGAGATTGACTAATCCACAAGTATAACTCTGCTTGCTTTTTCCATTTCTTCCTTCACGTAATAACTTAATCTTTGTAAAATGTGTATATAAGATGTCTGCTATTGAATGCCAGCAATTTTTTTTCTTCCCTTATTAGCTTTTACATGCAGTTTTGTTGATTTCTAGTTTTCTGTGACTTCTACTTTGTCTCAAATTGAATTAACCAATATTCTGACCATTCCAGAGTAGCCCAAACTCTAAATGAATTCTGAGAGTTAGGTGTCCTTGGCACTGCTATGGATGTGCCGAGGGGCACATCCCACATACGGGATGAGAATTTGGCATTGCTGGAGTAAGAGCCTACCTTTTTTTTTTTTTTTTTTTTGGTCATATGCTTAGGGTGAGTTTACACTGCAGTCACTGTTGCAGCTAATGTACATGTACCTGAACAAGCCTAAGACATCAGCAGCAATTTGGGCACAAGGAGCACATAAATTTTTATTAGCTGAACTGATTGCAGTCTAGACTTCCTCTAGTATGTTGCAGCATTACACTGTAGCCCCAGTAATATTCTGAAGATCATTATAAAAAATGATGCCTTACTTAATTTGAAAGCATTTTATGTTAGTTGTTAACCTTAACTCTTGACCTAGATTACACAAAATGCCACTGTGCAGGCTGAGTTCTCTTAAATAGAATTAATTTTAGACAGGAAAACCTTGATCTTTCTTTATCTAATTTCAAATTCAGTTCTAGCAAGATTAGGACCATGCACAAGGAGTCTTTTTAATGGGTATGCATAATCTCACCCGTGAGCCGTACTGCAGGAGAAATGGGACAAAGGGAAAGAAAGCTGACTTTGTGCTTTTCATTGCCTTTGAGTGGCTTTTATATCACATGACCAGTTGTCTACTGAGAGCTTCACAGGAAATGACTGAGATAGATACTATTATTAGGAAAATAGAAGGCTAGGTCTACTATCTAGGCTGCTGCTGGCAGGGCCTTGCTGGTCAAGGGGTAGTAAGGTGGGATATCTTTTAGCAGTTCTATCAAAAGCTCTCTGCAAAGATGGAATTACACTAGGAAAGCTCTGACTGCACCAGCTCTACCAATGTCGTGTTGTTACATAAATGCTACGACTGGTACAGACCAAGCTAAATCTCTGAATGATTATGCCACAGAAGCAATTGATTTTTTTACTTGTTTGCTTCTAATATTAAGGTATATGTGTATACAATTTGACTGTGCTTCATGCTGCATTAGGAGACTTCAGAATGTAAAAGCTCTGGAGATGCTGAAATAATCTGTCATTAGCCATCTTTTGTTTCTGCAAGTACGGTGTTAGTCATCTCCAGTTCCTTGAAGAGTATCGTGTCTATATCTCCCTTATCAGAAAAACTCAAGGGCTGCTTCCTTATTCCCCCTTTCAGTGTAAAAAGGAAACTCAACCAAGAAAGCATTAGCACATCAGCCACAAATGTAATTTTTTTCTAAACAAAAGTTGATTTGAGTCAGTGTAACATCACTCTTTTTAACCAAATCCAAATACCAAGTTGCAAATGAGAGCAACAGCTAAACAACTGACCATTCAAAAAGCTCACTATTTCAGTGTAATACTGTAGAGGGAGGTAGAGTCACTCTAAAATAAATATAGCAATGTTCCAGAGCAAATGCCAAAATTTTAGAGAGATGCTAAATTCTCAGTGTTTGTTTGTAGAGGCCATGCCTATCTTCAGCCATATTCTGTTAACATGAAACAGTTGTATTATGCTCTTCCTTTGGAGAAGAGAAGCCAAAGAAGCCAAGGCATACTGAATGTTACTTTGCTATTTTATGGTCTATGTGTCTCATTTTATCAAATTTTACCAAGATATTACTTGTTTAACAGAACTGTGTTGCCTTCACTGTTAGGTCTCGCTGCCTCTTGCTGGTCCCCTTTGCTTTTCTGTCATCCAGTGTACAACAATGAACAAGACTTGAGCTTTTCATTTGTGAAGAGAGTAATGGTGGCGTACACTTGGTAATTTGGTAAAGAAGGGAAGGGAAGGGAGGAAACACTAGTGCCCAATTCTAATGTCTGCTTCACCATGGAAATAATGCTTTGCTTGCAGTGTAAAACTTGTGTGCAAAAAAATAATTGTTTTGCAGAAATTCTTTGATATAGAAAGAAGCCAAAGGTTAAGCTTTCTGCACTTCATTTTACAAGCTGTGTGGATTAAACCAAATTCATTAGAAATGTGGTCACATATATTAATACTAAAAGCTGTATTTTGTGTGTGAAGTCATGAATTATATACAACATAAGGACTGAGCTCACTTGTGTTTTCCGCTGCTAATTCATGATAAACTAAAATTCTGACTTCTTTTCCTTAAATTAAGCTGAGCTTAAAAGCAAAAGATATAAAATTACACCTGTTAAGAAGCTCAACGTTCTTCGCTTTACAACACAGTTGGAATTTTCCTTGAAGTCACTTGGTGAGGAAAAATTGGGAATACCTTCCAGAATTCATTTATTCTTTTGCAATATTGTTGCTAACGGACAGGTATGTGACATTCAAAAACTCTTCTTCCATATCCAGAATTTAAGACTCAAATCTAGATCAGTATTCAGAATTTGTCAATGTCCAGTGGTTCATATGAACCCTTTGCCCAATAGAGACAGAATACAGGGGGAAATAATGTTCCTTTGTGGATATGAAGTATTCTTGTGTGTAGAATTTTAAAACTGATGGTTAAAATAGTTTGTTTATAGCAAAATCAGCAATCTTTAGGATTGATATTACTGTGATTTGTTTTTCTAATTAAGCAGTAAGACATGAGTGACTATAATTTCCACACTTACTGCAAGTGGCCTGGGATGATTACTTTAAGCAATCTAGGAATTCAATAATTGCCCTGCAATTGGGTGTCATTTTACTAGTAGTAAATTAAACTTAAAACTGTATGCTTGAAGACATATGTAAGCTATCAGACAAGCAGGTCAAACTGTATGTATAAGTATGAAGCCACTTCATAAAAGTAAACACTTTAATCACATGGTGCTGTCAGTGCTGTAGTGTAATCAGTCACTCTTTTTGCTGCACATGTTATAGGTAAATAACTACAGAACAGCCTAATGAATAGTTTCACTAATCTGCATGTAGTACTCTTAAAAAAAAAAAAAAAAAAAACAACAACAAACAAAAAAACCCCACAAACCCACCATGCTAAGCATTCTGATGTTGTCTTCGCTAACCAGCTAAAGTTAAATGGGGAGTTGCTTTTAAAAGAACATTGCACAGGCAGCTGTCGTCTAGGAAACTGTTTTAATCCTATAGTTGAATCAAAGATTTGCGAAGAGACATCAGATGGGGGCATCAGTGAGATCTAGGCATTTTGCCTCAAAGATAATGAGTCTCCTTGATGAGTCTCCTACTTATTTTCAGGCAACCTACTGCTAGGCATCTAAATATATGTTGGAAATTCTCTTCCTAACTGTTACTGTCACTCTTCTTGAAAGAGTTTTTTGGTATGTCACTGTTTAACCATCACTGGCCTACCCTGGGATATCACTAACCTGGGCACTGCACTTTTATTATCTAGAAGTCTTTGAAGTGGTTCTCCTGTACTTGCCTGCTCTGTTGCTCTGACCTTTCCCAACATTTGCAGCATGAATTAGAAACAAATAAAATGACTCGTACTGTCTCCTAATAATAACTCTTACTGTCTCCTATTGGCTTCTGAAAAGCAGATGGTGATCCAAGCAGGGCTTGCTAGGGTGGGATGTTTTTAGGGGATGGGAGGGCGGAAGTGCTTGGGTTTTTTTCCTGCTGCTCAGCATTTTTTGAGCAGCAATAAAGACATGGGGGATGCAGTTCTGGACTGAGTCTCAAACAGAAGGTTCTTTCATATGGAAACATATTTTTATATTACATTTGTACAGAATTTTCCCTATTTTGATCTCCCAAAATTTTTAGATTTGCGCATTGCTCAGATTTTTTGTTTTGCAAGGTGTTATAAAATATGTACTTTATGTTTATTAATGTTTATTAATGTATTATAAATGTAAAGCTAAATTTTGCTTGTCTAATAAAAGTGCACTGTAGCGGTATCTGTTTTATTGTTTTGCTGACTTGAATTCATTTTTTCTTAATATGAAAAGGAAATACTTGAGTCATTGTTATGACTGTCTTGTTAGAATAAATGTGTGGAGTGCATTTATTTATAAAAATAACTTAAAAGGGCTTAAAGCAGGTAATGACTAAGAATACTTGTTGATGACAAAAGTTAGAGTTAAATAAGGTTCAGACTAGTATATAGTGTTCCCAGGATTCTTTTAAGATCGTAATCTTAATATACATGAGATTTGTTTTCATCTTGTTCTCATTACTTTTGGTTATGGGTACTCATACTAAAGTAAGTTTAAGACATAGTAACTGCAATCTGATAACTGAAGTATGTATGAGGAGGTGAGAAGGTCTGAGGTTTTGTATTTGGGTGTATTTAAGGACTAACTGTGGCAGAAATATTACAATGAACATGAAGATAATTTTGAAAAGGATTGAGAATAGATTCAAGTGTGTGAATTTACAGACTATTAGAATTTCTAGGAGCTTTGTTTTGCCAGCGATAGCACTAAATAATACATTGTTACAACTCTAGGGGACCTGCTGGAAGCGTTTTAAACTTAGGGGATAACTTTAAGCATCTCCACTTGTGAATAGGTGTGTTGATATTTTTGTTGCAAACTTTTTACTTCATTTTGAGCTGTTTTCTAAGTTTGAGTGTTTGAAGTGCAAAGAGGGGGAAATGTATTTTTCTAGAAGAATGAATGTACCTGGGATTTAAACACTACATGAAATGTCTTTCAGAATTGTCTTTTCAGGCAATAAGTTATAATTATTTAATGTAAGTTATGTTAGACATTTGGAGTAAATGTGACAATATCATATGTTATTAAAGAAAAAAATGTAAATAATGTCTTTCAGAATTGTCTTTTCAGGCAATAAGTATTAATTATTTAATGTAAGTTATGTTAGACATTTGGAGTAAATGTGACAATATCATATGTTAATTTAAAGAAAAATGTAAATAAGTGTCTGGGAAGGGAGTGAAATTAGAAAATATTGGTGTATGTTTCTGAAATCCAGATTTCTATAGCACAGTCTGTATTTGCTGGTATTAATCATGTGTCATGGCTATTGAAAACCTGGATGAGAATGAACAACAGACCTTTCCTTGTAAATGAAACTTGGCAATAAAAATGGTGTTACTAAGAAAACTTCCTTTTCATGTTCTATTGCTGGATTTGATGCACAAGGACACTCAGTAACAGTGAAATGCAAAATTTGCAGAAGCTTGCTTTTGTTAAGAAGAATAGTGTGTATATGGGAATGTCAGGCATTTTAATCTTTAAGCTGAAAACTGAAATAGCCAAGGTATTTTTGCATTGTGTATGCAGGAAAGAGCATGAGAGAGAGAGCAGAAAAGAAGCCTGCAGAGGTGATAGAAAGTAGATGAGACCAAGGGTTAAGAATGGCTGGGCAACATTTAAAATGTCTGTGAACCACTTTGAAAGTGCCTGTCATGTGTGATTTCTTCCCCAAATATATCCTTGCACCCTCTGCCTCTTTCTCTGGTGCATGTTGCCAGTTCAGTATATGGATTAAATCCAACCGAGTTATTAGTTGGATTCTTGTTAATTAGCCTCTCCATCTATAGGAATTAATTACAGTCAATATACACTCCTTGTGAAATGTTATTTCTCAAACTAGGCATTGCTCCAGAAGCTTTCTTAGGAAGAAATAAAATCGCATTCTACTGTGAAATAAGCAAGCTAGGTATCATAGGTAGGAGACAACACTGATTTACTATAAGATGTAAATATTAAAACATGGTGTATTGGGGAAAATGAGCTTAAATCTGTTCCTGGCAGTTGGACTTTCTACATCATGCCAATAATACTTTAAGGATACCAATTTTATAATTCATGGCCAGGAAGTTCCCTTCTGTTTGAAACTGTTTTGTGGTTCCTGTATCCTTCTGATGCCTCAGAAGTTTTGCAGCCTTTTGCCTTGTCACTTTTCCTCTGTTTCTGTACAAGATCTTTATAGACTTGGACATCAAGTCAGGTTCAGCATCTTGCCCTGAGTTACTAATGGTCAGAGACGGAATGAAAGCACAGCCTCAAGCCCTCTTCTCATTTTGACTGAGATGACAATGAACTTGACAGAAATGCAATGCTGTATTAGTCCACTCTTAGTCCCCGTGAATATATAAGTGCAGCCACTTGAACAGTCCTTTAATAGGTAAATCCATATCTTTATCATTAAGATAATTAATTGCAGCATAGTTATATAAATAAGAAAGTGAAACTGTGTGACTATGTCTATCAAAGTAACTCTTGTTTAAGTAAAGATGCAGTGTTTGGAGATTGGTATCTTTATTCTTTGACACCTAAACTGCTTGGTTTCTTTCTGTATCAAGGCAAGAGCTCACTGGGATTGCATGGATGCAGTTGTTTGGTAGGGGGGAAGAAATTACATCCCTAACTGCATTTTTATGCTGCCATGTTAGAGCTTGTGTGAAGACAAAAGCTGTATTGGCACTTTCTGGTGATCTTTTTTTAATATGTGATGCATGCAACTGGGAATGCAAGCTCACTGTTTATGTGAGTGTATTCCCTGAAAATTCCATTGAATTTTAAGCTGTTAACTTTTATCTCTCAAATAAGGAGAGGTGGTGAGAGTTGCAATGCTGGTGTTGCAACTCTCCACTGTCAAAATTAGAAGAAAGGTTTAAGGCAAGTCTTAACACACAGTTAAGGCAGTTGAGCTGATGGGGAGTAACTCAGTCTGGTTGGATGATGGTCAGATGTGTGTCTGTATTTAGCTCAAGGATTCTACCAACAGCTTATCTGCACACGTCTAGGTCTTAAAATTATTATTGCTTTTGGATGCAGGTTCTCTAAAATGGATTTTAAGAGGTGAAATTTTTAGATTATCAAGTGCCTTATTATTGAGGCTTAGATTATGAGATTTTTTGAAAAACGTTGAAAGCTTTTGCCTGTCCTCAGAGACTCATTCTACAAAGTTGGGAAATGTGCTTGTTGAATGGAAAATACTGATCTCATCATTCAATCCTCACTGTCTTGCCCCCAAATAAAGGTTTATTTTTCACATAGGCCACAGTTTAATTTTTTTTTTTGGCCTGTTTGGATGACCGATAAGGACAGATGAATACTCAGGCTCTGTTTCCTAGTTACACATCATTTTTCTCAGCTTTAGTATGCAATAAACATTGTGACACAAGATGGGAAAACAAGCTGTTGTTTTACTGCAGAAATAAATTTTGACTTTAAGTTAACTGGATGAAGACATCTTTGTGTAAATTTGTCTTCATTTTTTTGGATCATTTATTTGAAGCAGATTTAGGTTTCTGAGAAGCTTAGAAAAATGTCTGAAACTACAAGGTACACTTAAAACTTGTGTAGATTAATTGAGTGCTATGAACAGTTGTAGTGACCCAATTGTCTGAGCTACGCTGGTTGCAGGAGTTAATGTGATTGGCACAGGAGCAAAGAATGATAATTTATTCTAGCATCTTGCCAGAAAACTTATTAAAACAATTGTTACAAAATGTGGAGAGGAGGTTTATTTTAGTACAGTTGTTAATAATAGAATGTTTCCTGAGGCTTCCTAGCTCTGCTGCTCTTCCAAAATGGGTCATTTATTCCCAGGAAACATTTGGCTCTTTACTTCAACAACATTGCTCTTGTCAACGACTCAAATGGGTTACTTCAACAACATTGCTCTTGTCAACGACTCAAATGGGTTACTTCAACAACATTGCTCTTGTCAACGACTCAAATGGGCTGTAAACATGACTTACTTTGTGAGACTTCTACATGAAGTTGAAACAATAGAACAAAAGTCTGCACAAAACTAAGAAGTTAACTGAAAACTGAGCTACCTCAGTGTATGTACCAGCATCAGCGTCCCCACAAGCTCTTTTTGGAAAGCTGTAGTTGTTGCAGTAATAGGTCAAATGTATCAACTTCACTCTATTACTAAAGGGCTGGGAAGTGTCATGTTGATCTGGTGGTAGTTACCAAACTAGGGGTTATGGAAAAGTTGATTACACAGTTATGCTAACTTGCTCTTCATTTCCAGCTGCTGTTTGAAATTGTACGTTGATGGACAAGTGAGTCAAGGAGGCAGTTAATCAGACTATATCTCCACTACAGAGATAGTCAGAGCTTGCTTTCCCTCAACAGCTAGAGCTACCAGAAATAGAAAAAGGAGTTTTTGAAAAGAATTTCAAGTCATCAGAGGGAGGCAGGGCCTACAAAGGACACAAGTAGTCTCTCTCTTCCTAGGAGAACCTGGTTGTAATGATAATATGCGTGTGTACATTTCTCCTGCCCTGAATAACAGTGAAAACACTCTGTCCAGCCTCTAACATTGAGGGAAAACTGCTTGCATCTGTCCTCTCTTAAACAAAAGCGGTAAAGAAGCCAGTAGACTATGCAATAACAATCAGACTTACTCCTGGCTGTCACCTGTGAACTGAAATAACTGTACTCAATACTTATCCCACATGCTTTACTCCTCTGACACATCCTGATAGACTAGTGATTAATAATATAATATTATTAATATACTATTAAAGGCTAGTAGATAAGGTCTTTAAAATTACATATTGCTGAGAAGGGGAAGAAAGAAGCCAAAGTCATCTCAGTGGGTGATGACAGGTACTTCTGTCAAACTTGGATAGTTTAGAGACAGAAGTTGTTTGCAGGTGAGTATGCCTTACCACCAAATGCAGCATTTTGTTGCCCCCTCCCTCTCCCCCTGAGTCCTCTTGATGTCCCGGTTCAGGCTGAGGGAGGTGGAGAGGCAAGAGGTCAAGGATGATTCTACAGTGTCTGATCAGTGGGGAGATCCCTCACAGCAGCATGAATTCACTCAGAGATTGTAGTGTCCTTTGGATTGATGCTCTCTTGTGTGAAGATTTCAGTTTTTGTTTTGGAGTAGATTTCCGGATCCTTGTTTTTCTGACCTGTCACAAAGGCTAGAAATGTTTTTATTCAGTAAGAGATGAGGTTCTCAGGTAATACTGTTCCAATATTAGGATTCTAAGAACTTTCCGTAATTAAAACTCATAATAAAATCACAAGAGTTGGCAAGACCACATATCCTATTAGTGTTCCTTTGACTGTTTTGC